ATCCACTGACGTTTATGAGACGTCCAATGATACATAATATAGATTGCTCACCCATCTATAAAAAAATTATGAAAAGCGGGTTGCAATGTGCCTTTCCTAGTGCTCACTAATGTTGCGTTTGAGAATCCACATCGGATGCATTTTTTACATCTTGAGCGTTTTTTTATCCAAATCGGACACATCTGTCCCATTACATTTACGTATACTGAATCACGTGATCAAATATTTTTTACATCTCAGATTCATCCGATGTGTATTCTCAAACGCGGCATAAATAAAGCCGTTCTAGCCCAAATGTGTATTAAAAAAAAATTTCAGCTTTTTAATCTTTAGAAAAAGAAAATAATTAAAGTTTTACTTCAAGACATGTTATTATGTATTTGGAAAGTTGAGTTTCCATGTAGTTAAATAATATTAAGAGATCTAAACAATTTTCATAGCAGATGGATATAAATAATTTTTTCTACGTTCATGCAAAAAACAAAACTTTATTGAACTATATTTAGTGAAAAAACTGGGTCTAAAAATTTTATTGCACTCATCTGTCATTTTACTACAGCGTTTTATGATCATAACAAACATAAATATTCAAATCAACGCCAAATATTTAGTCCATTTTCATTTTCTGTGTTACGTTTTAAAATCAATTGCATATTTTATATTATTTTCAATCATTTAATAAATAAATTAATAAAAAATGTATTTTATTAAAAATGTCATTACAAATTATGGACACAAACGTAAATAAATGCCTCAAACAAAGGTATACGATCACAACTACTATGATTTGGATAATACAACTGCAGTCCTATAAAACATTTTTTGGTTTTTGCATGAACGTAGAAAAAATATTGTATGCAACTCGTGCAAAAAGTGTTTATTGCACTCGACGTGTTGTCGACAATTTCACGTCGCGTGCAATAAACACTTACTTTTTGCACTTGTTGCATAAATAACTATTAGCCTACTCTCATTTCAGAAATAATACTACATCAAATACATAATTGTAATATGTAAAACAATTTTGAAAAAGTAATGTAAACAACTTTGAGATGAGGTATAAACAACTTTGGTAAGAGTTGTAATTGGACACTTATCTATTATTCTGAATAATATTTAATGGTAATGTCACTAAAAAAATTTACAAAAAATCACTGGATTTTTAATATTTTAAAGTTTGTTGCAATCTCTTTTGACAGTAATTGCAATGTATTATTTATGATTTGTTTATTTTAATAATAAATGAAAAATGGTTAATAAATTGTAAAGAGGGACATGATATTTTTGTCAAATTGGACATTCTCATTTCATAATAAACATTCTACATTAGTTTTAATCAACAGAATAAACCATTAATTATCTGTAAAATTATATTTATATAAAATGTTCATTTAAATATGTAAAAATCTTAATGACAAGAAAACACTAAAGATTCTAATTTCTAAACGGGTTCTGTAAATGATTTCTTTACAACTAAGTGCTCAAAATTGATACAAGCTAGATAAAAAGAAAACTTTGCCCAGTGAAATACGCTTTTCGTGGTCTGATTTACATATGGATAAGCAATCTTTGTAATTATGTATACCATTGGGTGTGAGACATTAATTGTTGTGCTCTGTGAAAATTTATAAAATTTCTTTACTATCGAATGAAATCCAGGTTTCCAAAGTGATGTTTGTACATCCACGGATGCAACAAGTTTTTCCGATAATGATATTACGAAAATAAATCGACTTTATTTAATTAATAATTATTAAACAATAAATGCCGTATAAAACATTAATAAATACCCCTCATAAAGTTCACATTTTTGTCACCAGTTAGCGTTAAAGTCATGACGCACGGTCCCTATAGTCTGAAAACTAATATAACTTTCAAGTGTATCGATTCTATTATAAATAGCTGCTTGAATTTTTTCCATATGAACTTTAAATTTTTCTTGATTTTTGTTTAAGCTTGTGATTGATTTATTATAATAATCAACAAGTCTTTTGTACAATATTTTTTTGATTTACTTGCAATGTTTGATAGCATTATTATATCTTTCTTCGTCATCAGAATCAAGATTTCCAAATACCCATTTGGTAATTTTTCCAATTGCATTTATTAGACATAAAGTCTTACATGAGGAATTAAATTATTAATCTTTTTCTGAAGAGTAATTATTAGATATTCTGATATGATAAGATATAGGATTAGTTGCATTAACATGAACTATACTATGTTTTATCGATTCAAAATGATTAACTAAATTATTAACTTGTTTAACTAATTCTTCTAAATCTAAATAAAGTAAAAATGTATGTTTGCTATACAGGGTGGCTCACGCTCAACGGGACGGAGCTTTATGGGAAAACGACCAAAGATATAAAAAATTCGTTTGGGAGGAATACGTAGGTTACAGACGGCTACAATTTAAAATTTGTTAGATGTATACAGGATGTCCCACATAAGAGAAAATATACAAAGTTATATTATTTTTAATGGAACACCCTGTTTTTTATTTTAGAATTAAAAACTACATCAAAAATAATGTCAGTTAACTAAAGGTTCCCTATTACTATTATTATTAGTTTTCGATTTATTTGAATTTTTAAGGAAAAAAAGTCTCCCAGAAATTAATTGTTTACACTTGTTTGAATAATTTTTAATGAACAAATTTTTTTTTCTTATGTGGGACATCCTGTATACATCTAACAAATTTTAAATTGTAGCCGTCTGTAACCTACGTATTCCTCCCAAATGAATTTTTTATATCTTTGGTCGTTTTCCCATAAAGCTCCGTCCCGTTGAGCGTGAGCCACCCTGTATATAAGTTTAGCGTTTCCTAACTGAATAGGAAGCAGAAAATTTTCAATCGGAGTGATCTATATATCAGAAGATGTACTATGTATTTGGTATACATAAATGACTTGTAAAACTTGTACTTGGAACAGCGTCGTTATCAAAATGGATTTCATTTTCGTTGGTATCCTGTAACAATTTTTTTAAATTATTTTTCTGTTTTCTAACAATACTTTTATGATAATTTTGGTAATTTTTTATTTCTTGATTTTGTTTTGACAAAACATGAGTTTTGATTAGAATAGTTATCTGGTCAGTGGTGGATTTACGCCTAGGCCCGTGAGGACCGGGCCTAGGGCGGCATAATTTGAAGGGCGGCAAAATTTATGAAATGCCAAAATTTTAGAGGCACAAAAAAGTAAAGACAATCAATTTCAAAAATTGGTTCAGATTAGTTTTTATAAAAAAAATTCGATAGAAAATATTATAATTCAATTCATTAATTTACTTCTCAATCTGTATGGGTAACATATTAATTTTTTAATCGATCAACTATAGTCTTTATCGAGTAATATTCTTTACTTTTTGTTCCTTTAGTGAGATTAATCTTACGTGTATGAAACATTTTGAAATTATTAAAACCGAATGACTTCTCTATTTGTTTATAATGTGAAATAAAAATACCGAAGACTTGCATGTACCTGATTAAAAAAAAAGTATTAACATAAAGAAAAAAGTATTGGTTTTCTATTCAATCCAATACTTTTCAATACTTTTTTCTTTGTCTCAATATTTTTTTTTTATTCAGGGGTATTGAATATCGTTATGATATTCATTTAAAAGTGTCAGAACATTTTTTGGTTATAAAAATAATTTTTTATGAAAAATAAATCCTGTCTTTTTCCATATTCAATTTTTTAAATCATCAAAATAACTGTTAAAAAATTGAAAGTTTTATTTATCTAAAATAAAAAAAAAAATAATTCGATATTTCTCATATTTGCAAAATCTTCAATTACATCTACAAATTTCAATAATTTCTGAAAATCCAAGTGCAAGAATTTCGAAATTTTTTAAATTAAAGTATGTGAGCTGATGTATATTAAAGTGGTCATGGTTACATTTATGTGGTTATTATAAATATAAATAAAAAGTTTGAAGAATTTTATTTATTATCTGAGTGTTTTATTTATGTGATCGTAATCTCAATAACTTCAGTGAAGCAGGAGTATTGTGCATTATTGAGACTTATAAGTAGTTCGGGTGTGTATTTCATATGTTTACAGAAAACAAAAACGCCTACGCTTGACAGGTACTGACGTGTTTAACTTGGTTTTGTTTAATGTATAGAACAAAACATCGCGCTTCGCGCTATAGAAAAGTCATAGCAATCATTTTAGTTTTATGAATGCTCTTCATGTGTAAAAGTCTCGAATTATTTTATTCTGTTTCTTAATAATAAAAAAAATAATTGATTGATAACTTCAATTTAGGCACTGGTTTTCTTTATAATTTGTGGTAGTTTTGATTTTATTTTTGAATTAAATATGAGTGGTTATCGAAAAAAATTTAGCGGTGCAGAATATCGTAAAAAAAAGCATAAAAAATTCCAAAAATATCTAGTTTTATGACAAGTTCAAATAAGTCTTCTAATAATGACCAACAACCATCATGTTCATCGGTCGTAAGTATCTTGATATAATTGCTAATAAATTTTTTTTATACATAACGTTAATCGGGATAAACATTAAATAAATGCCAGTTGTTTAAATTGATTTTTTTTTCTAGCCGGAATTAGAAGAGATGTCAGAACAACAAGGAGAAGAGGAAAAAGAAGAAGTACAGTCACATCATTCTCTATCACAAGATACGAACAAGACGCCGTCAAATTTTTCTTCATCACAAGATACTGAAGAGTCTATTTCAATAAATTAAGTTACTTTAAAATAAAAATATTGGATAAAAATTAATTAAATTCATTTTATCAAAAAGGGCGGTGTATCGAACGGGGCCTAGGGCGGCAGCAAGCCTAAATTCGTCACTGTATCTGGTTCAGATCTCTTTTCATTTAATTTGTTTATTAAATTTTCTTTTACTTCTTCGTTACGTTGTTTAATTTTATTATACATCTGTTTACTAATTTGTTTATGATTTTGTACATAATTAGAAATTAATAAGTGATGACGCTTAATATTGTTTTGTAACCCTTTCATTTTGATAATTTGAATCTATCATTTCACATTCATAGCATTCCTGTCCAAAAAAATTAATCCGACAAACATAACGTCAGAATATTTTTTCTGTCAAGTGTTGCCTAATTTTATTATGATTTTTAGAAGATATTAAAAACTATATATACAAACAGGTGCTATTTAGTAAGTGTTATTTTTTTATATAGCACAAATGTAGATGTAATTATCTAAAGTTTCTTGTTAGATTTTAGGCTTTAAAATTATACTTTTTAGCATATTTGCTTTGTTGTATTACTATCAGCTAGTTTAATCCTATAAATAACATGATCCTTATACTTGTTCCATTCATTTTATTGTCCTTGTTTCACATCTAAATATTGGAATTACATTCTTTGTTTATTTTAACTGCTTTTTCTTGTATTTCTGTTTTCTTCAACTTTAACACGAATTGTAACTACTTTTCTAACTCGGCTTGTTGATATTTCTTATTAAAGAACTTCGTTTTTATAGCACTGTAGTGGCAATTCATGAATTTCATCTTCTGAGGTAGGTATGACAACAAAAAATCATTGATTTCGATTCTTATAAAACATGATTTATTACTTTCAGAATAAATAGTATGTCCAAATTTAATACTGAAGAAAAATCCCCACTGTTGTTCGTCTTAGACAGTAACGAGGATTTGTCGAGGGCGAGATATTTCGAAAGAAGCAGATTCAACGGTATTTCCACTGGAGCTACAGCAGTTTTCACGCATTTTCCAAGTAAGTACCTACATTGTTTTTAATAGAGTTCCGAAAACGTTTACGATATTTAAAATTAAAAAGTGTCAGTGTGCAGAAGTAAACGTATGAAGACTTTATCGTTTTCCTCACATAGCTGAGCAAATAAACGAGAATTCAAAGAATTGCTTCGAATCTTGTTGACAGGCATTTATAACATATTGTGCAATCTAGGACTCAGATTTTTTGCTACTAAATGCTGTCTGTAAATCACACAGTAAATGACCAGTACCTCAGGCAGTTGTCGCTTTAAGTGATCTATAAAACCACGATGACGACCAACCATAGATGGTGCACCATCAATCGCAACAGAAACAATGTTCTTTTATAACTTCAAAGATGATAAACTAAAGTTTAATTAAATAATTATGCGAACGGCAGGCAACTACCTGAGTTCGAAGAGCTGTTGGTGGTAGGTACATTGACAAACTAACCTTATAAGGTCTTTAAATCCTAACACTATTATTGATCCATATGTTCAAATATATAAATGAGCCCCACTTAATCTTGATATTATGAAAATTAAGAAAAACTATATAGAAATATTATTGTGTGAATGGTTTATTTTAAACATTTTGGAATAGGGTACGGTATCCAAGCTGAATTCGGATCACACTTTGTTTATATCACAAAATATTTTGAAATTTTGGCAAGCCTGGAGCGAGCCGTAGTTTTGCTGTTGGCAAACAATTTTTACTTTTTATACACAAAAGTCGTCGAGGAAATAAAGGGACTGAGCCTAAACTGAAATTAAAGGCTACTGGTAATACTTTAGAGTAATTATTATGCAAATATCATTCACTATTATTAAATTAATTGCAGCTTTGTTAACCCTACGTTTAAAAGCAGATGAGATGATTTCCTACAAACATTAAAAATAACCGAGAGCAAAAAAAGTAAAAGGACTTTACTAAAAGAACATACATTTTAGAAAAAGGGTTTGCTACAGGAAGTTTTTAGTAAAAAATACATAGTTACAAACCATTTTAAAGAAGAAAACAAGGGCCTCTTAAAATTGAGAAGAAATTTTAAAGTATTCACGAGAAGATATTTCAATAAAAGGTGCTATCTTCATCTCAGAAATACTCTAAAGTATCCCTTGCTGGGGATTTGAACTTTATAAAAGTGTGCTACTAAACTAAATCTAAGACATCGTCTTTTGGATGATTTACTAAAATACTTAAATAAGTATATGTTATCTTAAATCTACTCTGTATTGTATGTATATAAACAATAGATAAAACTGTTTTCCTCTAACTGGGTACCTATATTTATAGATTATTATAATAAAACTGGGTTGTTTTTTGTTCTATTGTTTTTGTTTTAGTAAATCCCCAGAAAACACACCAAATCCCAGAGATATCCATAGAATATCTTTTGTGAATATCCAATATATCCACAGGATATCAGAAATATCCCGTGGATCTAATATGGATATCCAAATGTGCGTCTATATCCAGAATATAGAAAATATCCTATGGATATCCAGCAAAATATCTAATGGGTATCTTCCAGACAATACAAGAAATCCCAGAGATATCCACAGAATATATTTTGTGGATATCCAATATACCTATCCAGTGGATCTAATATGGATATCCAAATGTCCGTCTATATCCCAGGATATAGAAGATATTCGGATATTCAGCAAAATATTTTATGGATATCTTAAGTAACCAATGATTATTGAATAACGTCGAAAGAAAATAGCGGAGATAAAAAATATTTTCAACACTCTGCCTTTGATTTTGCCCACTAAGGAGAAAGTCATCAGTCATCCTTATTAGGACTCTTCAGCAAGAAATGGAAATTCTCGACTCCAGTCTCTAATGGAGTCTGATTGCGAAACCAATTTCGATTGAACTCAATTACGGCGGGTTGAGCATGAGTAGATATTTAACGAGCGAAAGTGGTATCGCCATCTATACTTTGTAAGCAAAATCAAAAATTACATCTAGTGTCCATGGGACATTGAATACACCTTAAAAAAATTAATTTTAAATATCTGACCGGTACTATTAGCCACAATGGCGAGCACAATGGCGTAATTTTTTAATAAGTTGCTATATAATTACTATTATTTATGGACATTTGCATGTCTATAAATTACATCTCATGGATATAAAATAGATATCCACCATGGACTGGACATTCAGTGGATATTGGGATGTCCAGTAGATATGCAAAGGATTCGGTGTGCTCTCTGGGTTATACTGTTTGTAACATATTCATGTACTACCAAAAGATAACACTTGACAATGTCGCATCATCAGCAGTGTTGCCGTTTGGGTAGAAATTTCCTCATTGGGTGGAAATTTTTACTCTGGTGGGAATTTTGAGTGGATACAATATTTTGGGATCATTTTTGGGAAATTTTTGGGGAATTTACTCCAAAAATGATTTTAGTGCGAATTAATTTTGGATGTCATCTTTGTAATAAATAGATAATATTTATTTATTACTTATTATTGTCAGTGATGTGTTAATCAAGAGCTGGCACATATCATGTTTTATGTTTTGACATATTTAATGTTTGTACATATATTTTTGTAGTGTTATCGTCGTTGTGATTTGACAACATATAATGATTGGAGTCGTTTTAACTAATTTTGATAATAGGTGGCTTATAAAGGTAATAAAAACAGAGAGCACTTAGTTATAATAAGGAGAAGAAAAAATCTTAAAGTCCATGTCAAAGCAAAGTTAAGCGACCGTTTCCCTTCTGAGAACAACTACTTTTTTGGATAATCCTCTCAATGTGAAAAGAGGATTTTTACTTTTATATTCCTCGTTGGCCGTAAATTGACAGCTGTTAACGGTCAAATTGTCCAATCTGACATGAGAGTTGAATCCAGTGACCTCAAAAACATTACCCTATATATTAGAATAATTAAGATATGCTTTTGACATCTGTAAATAGTATTGAAAGTGAATAGTTTTGCAACGGGTCAGGGGAGCTTTGGCAGCTCCGTAGCTGCCAAAATATTCATTTTAGCACTTTGTGCCCATGGAGACTTTTGTTCAGGATAACAAAATCTACAACATATCAAAAATTCAGACAATTTGACAGAAACCCAATTTCCATAAGATTATTGCGGGGTACTTTGTCAAATATATTTACAGCTAATTCCTTTTAGGGTATATAAATGTAATTTATATTGGAATATACTATGATATAATGTTATACAACTCTTGCCTCGCCTAAAGTAATTTATGATTAAACACAAAGTTTGTTTCTGATAGTCCAGTAGGTAGTATGCACAATTAAAAATGGTTTTCTGACGATGAAAAGTATCCATGCAAAGACAAATCTACAATAGGATTTATATTAATTAATTAGATTTTTTGACCGTCTATGGAACGAGATATTAACAATCAAAATGTGCAGAATTAACACTCTTGAAGCCTGTCATGTACACAAGCAATGCATTTATTTCAAGATATCTCGAAAAGGGTTCTTACCATATTTTTTAAAAACTAATGTTAAATAAATCAAGAAGTTATAAAATTTTATAAAAAATCGCTGAATTTCTTGACCTTCTTAGTAAAAAGATATAGATTTTTTAAAATAAAAATATTTTTAAAGCAGTTATCGAATAGTTTCATAAAATTATTACAACTTGGCAACATTGTAACCATTTCACGTAACAAAGTAGCACTTGATCAGTTAAGAGGTTGTTATAAACTCACGACGTGTTCTTGAAAAATTAATTCGTCCATGTTTGAGAACTGGAATCAGCGGTTCTGTTTGAATCAAAACAAACCCTTAAAATTAGTATGAGGAAGTCACAAATTTATATACCATACCTTTTATGTCCATATGTGTTTATATACATGTGTTTTGTACAGTATCTTACAAAAATAAAATAGATTAGCATTGAGAATCTGGAACTTTTGGTATTCACCATTATGCGATATTTTTATGTACGACTGTCGCGAGTGAACTACCTTAAAAACTTTTTATTTTTATCTCAGAAATACAGCAAAAAGGCAAAATACAAACACAACAGTACTTACAATATTTTATGTAAAACATGTCTTCAAAGTTTCTTTTGAATCACTTGAAAAATATAGATACAGACAGCGTTCATTTGCAAATTAAGACGGTAAAATTAATAAGCTGCCAAAAAATTAAAATGATATCGTTGAAATCAATTTCTTTGCTCTTTTAAAATATGGAAACTTTAAAAAAATAAATATACAGGCTTAAAAAATTTATGAATTTTTAGTCAAGCCGGAACTGAAACTTTTTTATACATCTGTATATTCGACAAAATATGAAAAGTATACAATAAAATCTACGCTACTGTTTCCGAGTTATAAATGAATGGCCCATTAAACAGGGGGGGTTATTTGACTTATGTCCGTTTTCCAATTGTTCACCCTGTATTATTTCACGCTAGAAAAATATAAATTATAATTTTGTTGAAAACGCCATATCTCATGAACCGTACATAATAATGTTAATAATAATTAAAATAATTAGGTATATTTTTTCACCAAGATTTAAAATATTTTCGCAATTTTCATGCCAAACAAGTGTTAATGTTATCACTCGATGCAACGTTACAGTATTGGTTTATTTAACCAGGATTTCTAAGGTAAATTTTTATATTAAGTACAATCTAATGCCAGATATACTGGGTGTTTCGTAACTATACCGTCAAACTTTTAGGGGTGGGTTGGAATATCAAAATAAACATTTTTTGCTTAATAAAATTTTCCGAAAACGCTTCATTTTTAAAATACAGGGAATTTTAAACAAAAATAATAACACCCAGTAGATATTTGCAATCTCTATAAAGCAACTAAAAATACAACTTTTGTTCTTTGATTTTTTCGTATATTAATTTAGTTATCGAAAAAAAAAAAAAAAATCAAATTTATTGTAACTAAAATACAACAACAAGAAAGTGAGATTCGTAAAAAAATCAAGATACAATTTTTTTATTTTTAATTGCTGCATCAAAAAAAGTATTAAATTTAAAAAAAAATCTACAGGGTATTATTCCTTTTCTACAAAAATGTATAAACTTGCTCCGAGAGCACGCCTATGAAAATTTGCAATAAACTCTAATAGGTCAAAAAATACATCTTTAAAATATCAAAAAGATTTAATTGAAATCCGTTAAAAACGAAGCTTTTTCGAACATATATATGTCTAAAAAAATAATTCGAACTTCTAAAATCAAGAAACACCCAGTATTTTTTTAATGCTATTGGTACTGGAGTAGAATCTAAAACATTTCAATAAAAACGGTACACTCCATTTTTATAACAAAAAAGACGTCTTGCAGACGTCATGAGCTATCTGTGCAGGCATTTTGTTGTTAGAAGTGGAGTGAGTGTATAGCAAGTAATGTACACCGACCCTGAGACATGTTGACTGTTCGAAACTTGAAATTGAAGTGACGATAAGCGAGGAAATGAATTGAACCGTGGCGGGGCAACTTGTTAGTTCTTGTGACTGGTGAGCATTACATCAGCACGTAAAATTCGTTAGAAAATATTTTTTAATTCTATTGAGTCGGCGTACGTGTCAGTCGTCATAGAATATATATTTAGCTTGTACTGTATCTGAAATACGTGGCTTTAATCGCAGCTAGCTTGAACACAGAAGAGTATTAGAAAATTATATGTTCAAATTTCTAATATATGTTATGAAATTTAAATAGAAGTATCACACCTTCTTTTTTCCCCTTTTTTTTTTAGATTATATCGGTTCCTGTTGGATAACCACAGCCGTTTGCGGCTTAGTATTTTTCATGATGCTCCTGCTTGTGCTGTCAACGATGACAGCTGTCAGTCTTCGAGTACCGAGATGCGTGGCGGCGCACGACGAACCAATAAACAAGACCATCCATTTGGTGCACGTCCATTACTCTTTGCCTGAAACGGACCAAGTCAAAATCGTCAAAGATTTGATGGGACTGTATCCGGATTATAATATCCGAATTCTGTCAATTATAGAGAAAGACAGGAGCAATGTTATCGAACACGATGGATGGAGTAAGGAAGTGAACGTAACGACGAGTGGAGTATTTTTGACTACTGGTAGTACTAGTAGTACGATGACAACTGTTTCTGAGAAAAAGAAGGTAAGATGGTTAAAAGTATATTTGTCATATTTAATTTTACAAATTCTGCACTTCTTGACCTAATATTCAGGGTGATGTTTGTAAATAATAATAAAAATGCATTTTACCGCTTTTTCATAATTATTTTTCTTTAAAAATGTTCTTATGTGAAGATAATAAGAAACTTATTGCCTTACCAATCGGATGGAGTGTCAGAATGTGTAATAAAAAATGGAGGATATTTCAATAAAATGCTGATAACGTCACTACACACGAATCACCATGCATCTTGGAATATTATGTCAAAAATTACATAATTTAAAAGTAGATTTGGGGTGGGATTACAGAACGTCTGTAACTTTGCAGATCTGCAAATATGGCGCAACTTTTGCAGATCTGCAAATATGGTGGAGTTACAGATTCGCAATATTTATTATGGTTTATTAAAAAAAGTAAAGTAAAAATTGACACTCTGCAAGTTTGTAGGATGGTCTATCCTCCTTAAGGGTGGATTTGGGTTTAGTTTTGTTGAGGGTAATAAACCACAATAGGTAAATATTGCGAATTTCAGATATTATTTGGAATACGAAAACTTGATACTTGCATCTGTAAGGCAGAACTCAGACAGAATAGGTCGTCCACGATCAAGCACGGTCAACCAAGGACAATCACATGACTCCTTGACCGTTTTAAAAGAGCGAATTCACACAGCGTCGATCGATTTGATCCGATCAAAACAAAAATGGTTCTCTATTTTAAAATTTTAATTATTGCTTGTAATGGAAATTAACAGTTGATGCTTCAATTAAATATTTGTTAATTAATATTAAATCAATAGACATTTATATTAAAAAAAAATATGAATTTTCTGATAAATATTATATACAGTTATTCAAAATATATCATAATAAGAATATAAATATTAACCTTCGGCCATTTTTTTAACATATATCTTTTTTATCTTTTTATTTTATAACGTATTTAAATTCTTTATAACCTAACTTTTGATCGTCCACCAACGAGCGATCAACCAAATTTCAAACAAACTCGAAAAGTGAAATTGCTTGGTCGAGGACGGTTGATGACGGTGGCGCTCGATCGGCTTAGTGTGAGGTTTGCCATAAGCTTACGCATGTTTGAAATTTTGGACGATCGCGGACGGTCGACGTGAACGAGCTGTCTGAGTTCTGCCTAAGTCCGTCATATTTGCAGATCTGCAAACTTGCAGACCTTCTGTAATCTCAACCTTGATCTGTTGAAGTTATTCCTTAATTTTGAATCGCACTTTATATTCTATAGGTAACAAAAAGAAGAAGAGAAATCGACTTCCGCGAAGCCAACAGATTCTTGGACATGCTTTTACGCGGATCGTTCGTAGAAAAAACGGACGCCATCCTCGAAGCGCCATCCCTGAAAGCAGTAACCATCACAACACCTTCTCCATCAACCTCGAAAATAAAGATCCAAACGGTAGAAGAACTAGTAAAATTATATCCGCAAAATATAACGTTAGAAATTACGACGTACAACCAACAATTTTTCGCGTCACCCCTGTATCCGTACTTCAAATTTATGAACGAGAAAATTAAGATTTTCGCCGTACGGGTGATACAGATTTGGCAATACGGCGGAATTAGTTACGATTTGCAGACTGCCAGCAGCAATTTAAAGGATGTGATGCACAATAAGTTCGGAAAAGTGCAAAATTTTGTCATCACCGAAAGAAATAACGCAGGTAAGATTTATAGGTATTTTGCTTTGTTGTGCAGTATTTAATTCGAAAATAATATCTGTGGCGCCATCTAATAACCAATAACCGTACTTTCTTTTACAATCTAGGCAAAAATAGTAATTATTAATATTTTTTCTAGAAATTAGTGATAATTCTAACAAAATCGGCGAAAAAATCGTAAGTGTAGACGAAAGAGCTTTGCATTTAGAAAGCAAAGTTCCTTGCCATGCATTTTTTGGACAACTTTTGATGGTATTGAGGAAGACCAACAGCTTGACGACAGTAAAGCATGTAATGCAATATGCTATTAGAAGTTTTTGTAAACATTACGCTCCAAACTCGGACTATTGTCATATGTATATGAGTATTTAAACAGTCGATTATTGTGTACAAATATATTTATTTTTATGTTGTTTTTATTGTATAAAATCGATTTTACTGTTCTTAATTTTTTTATTCCAGTGATTTCCATGCTTTTTAATAAATTTGGCAACATTCTACGACTTCGTATTTTGTCGTTTCGGTTCGGTGCTCGCACTGATATAATCGCTATACGAAGTCAAAATAATCTTCATGGAAATTTTTTGAAATTATTTAGGTTAAGTTGTTAACATTTTTTAAAATTATTTTAATATTACGTTGATAATTTTCTTCGCATTAAAATGGAACAAAAACTAAAAGAATTCGCCAAAGAATTATTTTCAATTGACGCTATCAAATTTGGAGAATACAAAACTAAAGTGGGTCTCATGACCCCAGTTTATTGCGATTTAAGGGTCATTGTAAGCTATCCTAAATTAATGGTGAGTTAAATTGTACAAAATATTATTATTTAAACATATATATCGTCTATTTTTGAAGGAAACTTTAGCAGATTTGTTGATATGGAAGATTCAAAATGTAGAAAGATATGATTTGATTTGCGGTGTACCATATACAGCTTTACCTATAGCTACTGTAGTTTCAATAAAAACTAGCATTCCTATGGTGATGCGCAGAAAGGAAGCCAAAGATTACGGCACCAAAAAGCTGATAGAAGGTGTCTTCAAGCCAGGAGACAATTGTTTAATTGTCGAAGATGTAGTCACCTCAGGTATACTTATAACGTTCTTATGTTATTATATTTTTATTGGTATGAAATGTGTAATTTAAACAATCTAAAATATTAACATGAAATATGTTAATACCCCACAACTAACTCAGAAAAATGAAACTTGCAACTAAAAATTTAAATTTACAATTTCCTCCTATGTTCTGAGTTCAAACATTTCACACTTACAGGGCATCAACAATAATTCTGATAAGTCAGAACAAAAGAAAAATATCAGAAAAAACCACCTTATCAAATATTTAAAACTATAAATATTTTTTTTCATTCTTGAATCTCCCTGCACCACTTCCTAGTGTTTAGCTTGATCACAATAATTTTATTTAGATACCAAGAAATAGAAAATTCACAAAGTATGTGAATTATTTGTCCTCTTCCTGGAAAAAATGTGATTAATGGCCTACTGCAGGGGCAATGTAGGCACCTATATGTATAGTGTTTCACAGCTAACAGTATACTTATATGTTGCTCTGATTAAAAGTGAATTTTTGTGTGGATAAAGTCTATATTAAATATCGAAATTTATATCAATATGTGCCTGGTATCAGCACATTGTGGTGCAATTGTTTTAGAACATTTGACGCGATTTGTAGTGGTTATTTGATGAAATAATAATTTAAATTCAGTTTTAATATAAAAACTTGTCTGTGCAGATTTCAATATTGATTTTTTAATAAAACTTTTCAGTAAAAACAAAAATATATATGAAAACAGGTAAATCACCAAGATGGTAAAACATCAAAAGGGTCTCAAATTAAACAAATTGAAGTAGGAGGACTGTCAATTATTGAACCAAAACAAATAGCTAAAGTTTTTGCAGAGCATTTTGCCAACTCCACAAAAAAAGCACTACAGTCTCATTTCAATGATTTGAATTTTAAAAATTTTACTGAGTCATGTGTCTCTCAGACCTTTTACTTCTCTCCTGTTGATCATCGTGATGTAATTGAAGTTATTCACTCATTAAAAAAATGTTAACTCTATGGGCATTGACTGCATTTCCACAAAGATAATAAAATGTATTAGTCATCACATCTCTCAAATTCTAGCAGACTTAATCAGTCTATTCAGCCAGGTATTTTCCCAGATTATCTGAAAGTAGGATATGTAACTCCTATCTTTAAAAAAAGGTGATAATAATTTAATTGATAATTATAGACCTATTACAGTGCCTACAATCTTAAGCAAAATCTTTGAAAAGTGTGTCCACAAAAAAATGCTAATATTTCTTAAAAAATATGAAATAATATGCAAAAATCAAAATGGATTCCTTCCAGAAAAATCTACTGAAAGTGCAGCAATAGATCTTTTTAATTTCATACATACTTCTATCGATCAAAAGTTGTTTGTGGGTGCGCTTTTCTTTGATTTATCAAAGGCGTTTGATTCAATCAACTTAGATGTCGCTATTCAAAAATTGGAAGGGCTTGGTTTTAGAGGTAACTTTTTGTCTTGGTTGTCATCTTATATAAATAACAATATATGTCAAAGTTGGAAATTGTAAATCTGAACTAGAAAGTGTTGATATGGGTGTGCCTCAGGGATCAATTTTAGGACCTCTAATTTTTTTATGCTACATAAATGATATGCCTAATCATATTAACTCAGAAAACATAATTTTATACGCAGATGATACAACAATTGCCACCAATGCACAATCAGTAGATGAATTAATTAGTAAATTAAATGTTTTATCTAATGAGTTTACATCATGGTGTTATAGAAATTCTTTAATTGTTAATTCAAACAAAACCGTTTGCCTTCAGTTCTACTCCAGAAATCAAATTACCCAGAATTGTAAAATAAATGTCAATAATGCAGAAATTATGCTCTCAGATGTTACAAAATTTTTGGGCATACATATTGATACTAAAATTAAAATCAATATTTACCCAAGAGCAACTGCTTAATGTCTACTATGCTTTAGCATATTCTCATATATCATTCAATATTATTCTTTGGGGTGATGCAGTCAATGCATCTAAAGTGTTTATCTTACAGAAAAGAATAATCCGGCTTATTTTTAATCTAGAATTAATGCAAACTTGTAAATATAACTTCAAAAAATTTAAAATATTAACATTTCCCTGTATTTACATTTATAAAACGTTGCTATATGCTAAACGCAACATACACCAAGTTTTACAAAATTCAAATTACCATGAATACTCAACTAGGAATGCAAATTTATTCAGAACACCAAGACATTCAACAGCATTATTTGAGAAATCGCCTGAAGTTGTTGGAATTAAATTTTTTAATCAACTCCCTGATTTCATTAAATCTGAAAAGAAATATGAACCTTTAAAAAAAACTTAAAAACTATTTAGTAGATTCATGTTTTTATAATTTATCTGAATACCACCATATTTTAAGGTAAATGTTTTTCTAATTGTATATTTTTAATGTGCATGTCTTAGATATATATATATATTTTTTTTTGTATGCTGTACCTATATTTATTTGTATTTTAATATATTTTATTCATATATATATATATATATATATATATATATATATATATATGTATATCCCAGGCGTTCTTCCCTCAAAACTATAGATACTGAAGGAGTACTTCCCTCTTATATAACTTACTTCCCTCCGATTTTGGAGGGAACAAGGTTTTGCATTAAATTTCAATTTAATGGACTACTAAACCTCCTTCCTAACAACTGAAGAAAAATTGTCTGGAGGGTCGTTTGTATACTTTTGTCGAGACAGTGGGCAGTTTAGTTGGAGTTTTAACCGGTGGCGTTGCAATCGTCTTTGTATGTTGGAAATTTCGTTCCATGTTCCCTCCACAATATTTTATATAATTTTAATTGAAATTGCGGTTCTTGTTCCCTCCGAAATTCGGCAACACCGGTATTCTATTAGATTCAAGTTAGCTTTAAAGTTACACGTTTGGAGAAATATTTATGTGTGAGGTGAAAATGACTTCGAGGAGCGAATTACTTGTTAAATTAGCTCTTAAAGAAGGTAAGTCGCATCTATTTTTTAATTATTTATATATTAATAATAAGATGCCTGCATACGCATGGAAAGTTTTGTTTTGTTTTAATATAAACATTTGCATGTCGAGTGTTTTGGTTAGGTTACAAATATTTTATTTAAATTTTGTTATTTGTATAATTATTGTCCATTTTTTACTATTATTATGGATTTTACAGAAATTAGATGAAATTTGGATGCAGTTTTGTGTTCAAAGATAAGCATTTTGTATCAATGCGTCAATTTATTAACTATACAGAGTAACCTTTAATAGTATAGAAAAAATACTCTATATGACAAATAGATAAATAGATATAATTACATATTAAAAATTAAAACGTACTTTTAAATTTTAAACAATTTTTCCTAATCATAATTTTTGATATTGTTAGAAATAAAAGCCACACTGTTGCGCAAAATATACTACTTGTCTTCTGGGTTATAGGTTTTTTATACAATTCAATAATATTTATTTATTTTTTTGATAACGTATTACTAATAAAGTTGTCGCCAGACTTATGCTAAAATTTTCAATGTTTATAATTTAAAACTACGTTTAAATATCTCTATATCCCTCTATTCTGAAGAAATTACTAAAAATATTTTGTTATATAAATTAAAATAATCACACGTAAAACCAAATGTCAAAAATTATAGGGTAACCTACTTCCTTTAAATAACAACTGCTCCATTGGCGAATACCGCAACAGGTATTGAATTATATACAAAGGAAAACAACAGATATATAAATTTAATTACAACATTCTACCTTTGATTTTGCTTGTTAAGGAGGTCATTATTGGACCGAGCGGTTTCGTCCTTAAATATATTTTTCTCAGTTCTAGTCTCTTATGAAATTAACAAGAGCACCAAAATGAACCAATATAATGCTAGAGACCAAGTATTCCCGTGTTGAAAATGGTAACTCCATCTATTCTTAGTAAGCAAAATTAAAGGTCGCTTGCTAACAAAATGAAAGGTAGAGTGGTGAAATTAACTTTCTATCTTTGTTGTTTTCCTTTGAATTTAATTTAATACCTGCTGCGGTATGAGCCAAAGGAGAAGTTGTTTTTCAAAGGGAGACGGTAGCCCTATAATTTGTGTCATATGGCTTTGAGTTTGATTATTTTATTTTACGTCTTGTTCACATTTGAGTAATTATCTTCCTATTTTCTTCCAAATACTGTATAACTAATAAATATGGATTTCTGAATTTTTTACCTGTATATTTTAATCCTTACAGAAGATTTTATGAGAAATATTTATTTTGATACCGTTTATAGTAAAAAAGTTTATTGAAGGGTTCATTATGAATTTGTCAATTTTTAATCACCTTGTAAATGCGTATATTTTATACTGTTCTTTAAGAAATTTCAGATGTTACAATGGGTAACTTTTTTTGGTCACACTCATTGATTTAAAATGTCTGTAATTCAGAAGTTCAGATGTTTTTATATCTATAATATAAATGCAGTATAAGCGAAAACTGAATTTACTTATATTTTCCTAAAATTTTCCAAACTAATGTGTAATGAAATGTATGTAACGTGGAAATATTATTGCATTGGCAATGTTTTCTTTTTAGTTTGTTCTGGTTTAGACGATTGCAACTCTAGTAATGTGCCAGAAACAAAAATCTAAAATCTCTTTATCTTCAGATGACGAAAAACCTAAAGACTTACTTTTTTTCTACAACTAGAGACCATTTAGGATCTACTAACGAGTTGCCTGAACTAAAATCTAACTTCTTAAGTTCTGTTTGTGTCTTTTTTATATCCATTCTGTATTTTTATTAGCACACTTTACGACTTTTATTACACACAATAAATTTTGTACACATAAATGTTCATAGCACTTTTCAAACGTATTTTTTATGCAGTCGCTTTTTTCACTTTTATGATCGGAAACAAAGAAACAAATAATTTTAAAACTTGGACTTTCGCAAAATAAACAAATTTTCGTTTCACGCTAAGCAGTAATTGCTTTTTGCTAGAAACGAAAAAAAATGAATGTCCAAAAATAAAAATTGTTTGTTTCTCTTTCTCTTCTCCTGCTTCTCCTTATCCTTCTTTTCTTCTGCAGTTCTGAAAATATTTATTCTAGTCAATCCCGTACCAAAATAACCGCGTCATACATATATGAATGACATGGCCCCACAGAGTAACTAATACAATATTTTTCTCTAAGAGGCCGCGTCGTTCATATACATATACCCGTATTAATATGACATTAAAAAAAAACAGAGAAGTACAATGTTTTTATCAAAATCGAGTAAACATAATTACGCTAGTAAAACAAACAAAAAAAATAGTTCGCTGTTTTTACAATTGTGGCTTGGAGGTCAACGTGATTAATGAGAGACCGAAAACTATAATAATCTGTAAAGGAAAAATATATAAATATTAGAGTTCTTTGGTCTTTGGCAGCATTTTTTTATTTTTATTTTTAGATAATTCAGAAAGCGGCGATGATTTGCCTTTAACCAAAAAAGCACGAACACTTTCAGATCTTGATAATATTTCTGTATAGAAAACAAAACAGAATATTAAAAAGGGTAAAGTATTGTCATAAAACACAAATTTATAATTTACTTTACAAATGCTAAACACTTAAGTTCCAAACTAATAATAATTATATTATTCGCTTTTATCAAAAAATAAATTAAAAGGTATTATATATGTATTAGCTTTTCTTTTAATTTTTAGGTTGGAGACCAGAAGAAGTACAAATGATTAAAGAATATTTTAAAAGTGATATGGCCCGAAATACTTACCCTTCTGGTGAGAGGATAAAAGAGTTTATTCAAATCAATAAACTTCAACGAAGCGTTCCAGTTGTTAAATCCAAAATTCAACATTTACTTAAATTATGCAAGCAATAGCTATGTTTGTCTTGCGTTTTTTAATTTTTATTTTTTATTTTCAATAACATTGCTTTAGCTGAGAAATGAACATTTATTTAAGCGCAATTAAAATAAGATGTATTGAGAATTCTTATAAACATAAATAAGTACAAAAATTATAAAACAAAATGTATTAATACTACTTACCTACTAAAAAATGACTCGTCTTAAATATCAATAATAGTATTATTAGCAAAATTAATAACGTGACGCGGTTATATGGAGGTGGTTTTTGAGATATTTGTCAAATACAAAGAGCTCTTCCAGCCCGTCGCGCCACCCAACTTTGGGCACTATTATGATAATAATCGGTAAATAGCCGTACCAATATACAAATTTCGGAATTTTTTGTTTAAAGTTAAAAATCAAAATACAAAACACCATGTTTCCTTGTTTCCACCTAATTTTCTTTAAGAAATATGTCTACACTATTTAAAATTTCTTTTAAAAAACTGAAAAATGTAACAACATGCCTGCTACTTACGTAACTCTTTCGCATCAGCTAAACTTTAAAAAATACACAACTTTATTGTAGCATTAAATAATATAAAAGGAATAACAATATTAACACGTAGTGCCCTCCACAATATGGCAACAGCGCTGGAGGGAAGTGCGACTAATTATTACATAAAAAATACTATAGAATCGGAGGGAACTAACACTAAACAATATCTTTAAAATATATATGAATTTTATTGATGGAATTCTTTACCCCTCTCTTGAGGGACATATAAAGACACCTCCCCTTAATATATATACAGAAGCATTTTGCTATATATGCTACAGAAATACTGGAGGTCGGTCCGTCTGGTGTTTATAATGGAGGGAAGAACGAATTAACGATACATATATATATATATATATATATATATATATATTATGACCTATCCTATATTATGTAATATGATCCTAAAGGACAAATAAACTATTATTATTAAAGCAGATTTGCGACTGGCATTATCAAGAATGCACCAAAGTTGACAAAACTATTATGATTTTTCTTCTGTATAACACAGAACATGTATTTTAAATATTGTGTTTTCAGGATATCTGAGCTCATACAACTTTTGAATAAGCACAATTGTTTTTGAAAAGTTTATACCTTGGTGATGGTCTTTTCCAAGTGCTTTTAAAAGCTATAATCGACAAATATTTTAATTATTTAGGTTTTCCTGTGTTTTTTCTAGTAATTTTGTTGGAAATCTTCACTTTCAGAATTGTGTAAAATAATATTTTAGTCAGTTATTTATAATATTATATTTTTTGTTGTTTCTTAAAGTTTATTTAGATTTATTTATTTAACTACATTACATTAATTTACGTTTGTAAAATGTGAGTAAAATCGAAATTTAAAAACATTATATAGTACCTACACAAAAAAACATTCATGTAAATAGTAAAACTAAAAAATAGGTGGGTGTGTATATATATATTAAAAAAATTTTCAGTGTGTACTTACATATTGAAAGAATCCACAACCCCAGCAAGTTTCTTGCTAGGTGTAATTGAAATTGCGGATTTTTTTACATTCAATCATGTTAAGTATCTTTTTCTGACTTTTATACATATACACAATACCTGCTTGAAACGGTTTTATTTATTAAGCAAAAATATATTTACTATTATTAAAATTGTCCCATATTGACATAATAATTAAAATATTTTCTTTCTACTCTCATTTTTTATTGTAGGTACTTATTAAATGCCTACACAAAATCTGAATCCTAATATTCATGACTGACAGTGGCAAATCTGTTTTACTGGTTGCCTAAGTTGCCTGCATGCAATGCTGCTTTTTAGTGGCGCTTGCAAACTACCACTTAAAAATTTTATTATCCTCCTCCTATCCGACCAGTAACATAACAAGACAACGTGGGGCTCTGGTTCCAAATTTTAAATCCGGGCCCCCCCTTTTTTTTGGTTTGTTTTTAATACTATTTCTGTAACTACTTTTTGGCGTGTCTATTACTTGTAATGTCTGACTTTGTGATATTGTAAATAATAATCATATCAATAATATCTATATTGGTTGAGAAAATCTTTAAAAATATATTTCAAACTATTTTCAAGGAAGTAGCATACTGGAAACAGTCAAAGATTTGACAGGAGCGACCTTAAAATGCACCGACGCCATTATTTTGTTGAACAGAGAGCAGGGCGGAGAGCAGTTTTTGAAAAATAACGGAATCAAAATGCACGCTTTGCTAAGCATGACCCAACTCATGCAGATATTACACGAAGCTGGATGCATTGATAAGGCGACTGTTCAAAAAGTTGAAAATTATTTGGCCACAACGAAAGTAGACGAGTCTGTTATGAAGAAAAGTGTACCTGATAGTAAGTATGAAGGTTTTTCTGTCAGTATATCACACCGATTATACGTGAGGTAAGAATATTAACCACAAATTAATTTATATTACAGATCGCCTTATCCTGTCTTTCGAAGCCCGTGCCAAACTCGCCAAAAACCCTATTTCGGAGCAATTATTTAAAATAATGCGCTGCAAACAAACTACCCTGTGTGTAGCCGTCGACATTTTGAATTCCACCGATTTGCTTAATTTCGCAGAACGAGTTGGCCCTCATATTTGCGCCCTCAAAACGCACATCGATATTTTAGAAGACTTCCACCCTAATCTGTTGCAACCCTTACAAGAAATTGCCAAAAGCCACAATTTTCTCCTGTTTGAAGACAGAAAATTTGCCGATATTGGAAAAACTGTCGAATATCAGTACAGCAAAGGTTTGTATGATAGAAATTAATTTATTTGAAATTTATGTTCCTCATTGAAAATATGTTTTAAGGTTTATACAAAATATCATCCTGGGCGCCTTTGGTGACTGTCCATTCGCTTATGGGTCGTGGTGTTTTAGATGCCATCAAAACCAGCGAGGGTTTGGAAAAGAGAGGCGTGTTTTTGCTAGCAGAAGCGAGCGCAGCTGGTAATTTGATTTCCGACAATTATGTAAAAGAAACTATAAAAATGGCCGAGGAATATCCGGAGCTCATCGCAGGCGTTGTTTGTCAAAATCCCCTATTTCTGAACAATCCTGGATTAATACAGCTGTGCCCCGGCGTCCAAATGGAGAACAAGCAGGATAATTTGGGCCAAAGGTATAACTCGCCTTTGACTGTGGTGCTCGAAAAGGGGGCGGATATAGCGGTCGTCGGTCGGGGAATCACGCAATCTTCAGATCCGGCGTGTGCAGCTGAACGTTACAAAAAAATGTTGTGGGATGCTTATCTTCAAAGAATTGAGAGCAGCAGTTGATATAAAGAAAATTTTATGAATTAATTATAAGGAGAAATTCTCAACATTCCTGTAGTTGCATTACTTACACTAAGCAGTTGTAGAAATTGTTTTATATATTTTATGTTAAAAACTGTCAAATAAAATTTTTATGATAGATCTAATTTATTTAAAATCGTGTCTAATAGAAATTATCAGAAAAAGTACATAATAATTTGTGGCAACAGTGTATCATACCTAAGTGCTCGGAACTCGCTCCGGGTAACTCGCTAGATGCCGAAAATAAGGCAAAAGCTGGATCACAATATTTTATTTCTGTTGCGCACATTTAAAAAACGAGAATAAATGCATCTAGATTTATTTTGAAAATCAACCAATAAGAACGTTGCTTTACCTGTATGATTCTTATTTGAATTGTCCCTTATTAAAAGTCATCTGTCAAAATTTTGCCGCCGGCGCTCTCTGCTCTTCTCATTTATTGTTTGTTCTCACGTCGATTTTGATACCGGTTTTTATTTTATTTATATTAACAAGCAGTATTTTAGAACTAAACTCCTATTTATTTTAATATCTTCCAAATCATTTTATCCAGAAAACACAAAGGTAAGTCTTTTTTTTTATTTAAATAGGATTCCAAATTAAAACTACATTTGTTAGGTTAACAATTTTATTTGCGAATTCATTTTTATTACAGAATATAAGGCAAAAAAGCAAGCGTATAAAAACAAGTTGTATTCTTCTTATCATTATAAAAAAAAACTCAGGCTTTGTTCAAGGCAATTTTGCGCTTATAATTAATACGTTGCTCCCGGTTTTTGTATCGTATTCTAGGGAGAAAGTATTTTACTTTTGCAGGATAATTACCTATATGTTTCTTTTCATTTGTGGAACTTTTTACGCAAGTGTCCCTGCATTTAATCTATAAAGTAATCAGTACAGTACATTTTTTACATAGGTATATTCATATAAAACAATAGAACCACCTGTTAAAAAAGTATGTATGGTATTATTTGTATGTACATGAACATTCCCTATCTACTACATGTATGTATATTAAGTATGAATTTGTAAAACTTTAGGTTGATTTTGAAGCATTAGGATTTCTAAATTGCAAACGTTTAGCTTGAAATAAGTGAAAACTTTATAGGTTATAAGTTCATATTTACAGGCACTGTTTATGGGACATTATGAGACAATTCCTTGTGTTTTACATCAACAATATTAAACCACAACATAAAGAATGACCAGCAGGCTCTCTCTATAAGAAATACTTTGAACTTAATAAGTAAAATGTTGACAGCCTGCATCCCGAAAAAGTAGTGAAGAGCTTGCTTAGGATGCTGCTAGCATACTTACATGTTTACACCAAGAGCGCTTGCTGGTCCTTAATACTGTGATTAAAATCTGTCAAATCTTTTAATTAAAAGAAAAATAACAAGTATACCTACATAGAAGATGTTTTTATAAAATTTAGTTCAGGGGTTAGTCCAATCAATAGCTGATATAGTCTGAGAGATGATGACGAATTTGGGGAAGGTATTTTAGGCAATTTTTAATTATAAAAAACCGGTACTGTATTGATGTTGGTGAATCTATAAATGAGATTCGGCACTGCCGTTATTTTGCTACTGTACAGCATACTTATGACATTAGAAAAAAAATTTACCAAAAACTATCATTTAGGCATCTTGGAATTAATTTCTTTATTATAGCATTTAAAGAATCTAGAAATAAAACTCCCAGACTATTTTGATGGTTTTAAAGTATAACCAGACTGCTTCGAATTTGTTTTATTATTATATGCCAAAAATATACTTTATAGACACTCCAAAAATATACTTTATAGACACTCCAAAAATTTTATAGCAAATTTATTAATTGACATTGAAATTTTCTGACATAAAGCCTAATGAATTTGACCATCGAAATGGAATGAAGTAGAGAAAAGTGTAATGCAAAGATGTGGACACTTTTAGCTTCTTCTTCATTCTATCTCAATGAATTTGATAGATTTAAATAACTAGTTGATATCAAAAAAGGCAGCAGAGCACCTAGGTAATTTTGAGTTGAAACCTATGCTATATTTTTAGGCTATTTTTATACCCTATTTAAAAATTTGCAAAAATAAGGTATGTTTTTGCAAAAATCAAGGTGTTCTGCTAGCTTCGAACGAAGTCAGCAAATCACCTCAGTTTTTTTCCAAAAACACCTTATTTTTAGGCTCTTGAAATATAAAACTTTTCAAAAAACATTTTTTTAAAAAATACAGGGTGCTTTGCTAGCTTCGAACTAATACAGCAGAGCCACTAATTTTTTTAAAAATAATGTTTTTCGAAGATTTATAATATATTAACAGCCTAAAAATGGCCTAAAAATATGGTGTCATTGTTTTTGGGAAAACTTAAAAATTGAGATGATCTGTTGACTTCGCTCGAATCTAGCAGATCACCTTGATTTTTGCGCGAAAAATGAGTAGCATAAAATTTTTGAATAGGGTATAAAAATAGCCTAAAAATATGGCAAAGGATTCAACTCAAAATTGCCTAGGTGCTCTGGTGCCTTCTTTGACATAACTATTTGACATGAATAAAGGTTATAAAAAAGATGAATAATAATTATTATATATAATATAGACCTATTACAGTACCTACCATTGTAAATAAAATCTTGTGGATACAAATCCACAATAAAATGTTGGTATTTCTTAAAAAAAATAATATGAAATAATATGCAAAAATCAAAATGAATTCCTTCCAGAATAATCTACTGAAAGTGCAGCAATATTTCAATTTCACACATTGTTATCTTGATTAAAAATTGTTCATGAGTGCAGTTTATTGATTTGTCAAAGACGTTTGATTAATAATTATTATATATAATATAGACCTATTACAGTACCTACCATTGTAAATAAAATCTTGTGGATACAAATCCACAATAAAATGTTGATATTTCTTAAAAAAAATAATATGAAATAATATGCAAAAATCAAAATGAATTCCTTCCAGAATAATCTACTGAAAGTGCAGCAATATTTCAATTTCATACATTGTTATCTTGATTAAAAATTGTTCGTGAGTGCAGTTTATTGATTTGTCAAAGGCGTTTGACAATCAACTTAGGTTCCTATTCAAATCATTGAAAGGGCTTGGTTTTAGAAGTATCGTTTTGTCTTGGTTGTCATCTTATATAAGTAGCAGACAGATCTATATCAAAATCGGTAATCATAAATCTGAACTAGAAAGTGTTGAGCTGGTCCTACCTCAAGGATCAATTTTAGGTCCCTCTAATTTTTCTATTACCTAAATGATATGCCTTATCAATAGATGAATTAATCATGGTGTTATATAAATTCTTTAATCCTTAACTCAAACAAAACTGTTCTCTATTCTCATATCTCATACAATATTAATCTTTGAGGTGATGCAGACAATGAATCTAAAGTATTTATTTTACAGAAAAGAATCTGTCTTATTTTAATTTTATAATTATTCCAAATTTGTAAATATAATTTCAAAAAAATTAAAATATTTATAAAAAATTTCTATATACTTTTCCATATACTAAGCCCAACAGTCACATGTTTCTACCTAATCCAAAAAATAATAATAATAATAATAATATTTTAAAAAGTAGACATGCTACAATTGAGTCTAAAATAAAGTACAAATTAAAAATAGTATACAATAGGGCTAAAACATTAGACAATAATTATAATATTTGGCAATGTTAGCTTCCTTGGGATTTGTATCATACAGTGAGCATCATAAGTCTTACCCCCCTATCTAACTCGTTACTGCAGTCTTGTTAGGAAAATCGCCGAGACACGTCGATTTTTGATTTCTACAATGTACATTTTGTTTGAATAGTTTACCCTTAATTTAATCCCTTACTGGAGGGGAGCAACCCTTTCGAAAAATTTAAATGGCATGGGGTGGTGAGTGATAGCTCATTTGAAAGGGGGTTTTATTCTCTATTCAACCGTGCAAAAAATTTTGAAATTTGCTTCATTACGTGTAGATTTATTAATATTTAAAAATAAAAAAACATCACAAACAGGAAAGCAACTAAACTAACTGTGACCTTATCTAATAGCAAAAAGTCTTACTTCACGTATGAACCAAAACCTATATTATGCAGGGCCAAATTTTAATTCTAAGGATGAATGAGCTACGTTAATTTTCGTTATTCTGAAACAATAATTAGTCGAGAATTAATGAAGCAAATTTCAAAATTTTTTGCACAGTTGAATAGAGAATAAAACCCCCTTTCAAATGAGCTATCACTCACCACCTCATGCCATTTAAATTTTTCAAAAGGGTTGCTCCCCTCCAGTAAGGGGTGAAATTAAGAGTAAACTATTCATACAAAAATGTACATTGTAGAAATCAAAAATCGACGTGTCTCGGCGATTTTCCTAACAAGACTCCAGTAACGAGTTAGATAGGGGGGGGGGGTAATACTTATGATGCTCACTGTATATTAATTCATACACCAGGGTTACTGTAGAAACGAAATCATGTATTGATCATATTTTTATAAAAAATAATATGCCAAATAAAATTCATTTAAATCGTTGGTAATTGACACTCTGATCTAACTTATCATTTTCCAATTTTTTTAAATATTACAACAAATGAAAGAAACTAACCATAATACATTAAACCAACATACAACACAATACGCCGATATAGATAGATTTACAAAATTATTAGAAAATGTAAACTGGGACAACGTCATTTCTCTTAGCAATCCAATTTTGGCCTACCAGAAATTTATTGAAATAATATATTCCCTAAAAGAACAATGTAATATAACTAATAGGCATAATACTTATAAAAAAAAACCATGGTATAGTCGAAAGCCCGAAAAAAATCACAAATCCAAATGAAAGCCCCTTTTCGTCTGGCGTCGCACAGTACTGTTATTTATAATATAAAATTGCCTTGAATATCTTCCCCAATTTCGTCATCAGCTATTGGGCTACTAGTTTTAAAGTAAGTAGTGTAAATTTTTTTTAGTTTTAAGTGTTTGTGTGTATAATAAGCTAATTTCATTTTATAGCAGTGATATAACGAGTGAAATAGCTGCTTTCTGAGATTTAGAATAGATAATTAAATAAGTAGACCCACAACCAATTTTTTCCTACCTATTGATCAGACTACATTTTTTATATTTGGAGTATTTATACAGTGTGTTGTACTTATCACCCGAAAAATAAGTAAATTTATTTAATATTACTTATCAGAACTTGCATGATTATTGTAAAAAGAAAAAATACATATCAATTCGTTATTTTTAGGCAGTGATGGCGAAGTACATTTTCTTTCTGTATATTTACATTTATTTTCCAAGCAGCTCAACACGCTGTACAATTAATTTCGTTTGTTTTCTGTTTTTCCGGAATAATCAATTATTTCGTAAAATAGTTTAGGCGATCTTTGAGTTAAGAATGTCTTTGAGAAAAGAAGAAAATATATTTCTGGTAATGCGTATAAAATATGACAATTTTTTCTAAGATATCAGTAGGGTAAGCTGTCAAAATATGATTCGTTTTGATTTTTGGATATTTTAATACTAATATATGTCTAAAATATTTAAAAAAGTGAAAAATACAATTTCAAACAAATTGAAATAATTTAAAAATAACCAATTAACAAACAATTCGCCTAGGTACAGTGACAAATGACAGGCGAAGGAAAATTTGAATCGCGGATAAATAGGTAATGCAGAAAGCAAACAAGAGTTGTGATACAATGAAGGATGAAGGCTTTATAAATGTTGCGTTTTTCTTTCTGAATTTACCTAATTATAACTAGCTATTGTTTGAGTCCCTGGTGGCCTCTTCTGCATACTTTTTTCTCAATATAATTGTATATTGTGTTAGCAAGGAATTTTTATAGTATTTAAAAGTGTTGCCGATAAAAAAATAGTAAAGGGTAATTGGTTTTTAGAATCTTTAGAAGATTTTTAGAATGTTTCATGGCAAGATATCCAGTTCGAGCATCAGTTTATATTACCAGTGCCACATACACTGATTTTGTGGCACATTTCTAAACTTTCGCTATATCGACGATATATTTTGACAGCTCGTTCCTACACTTATAATTTTGTTCAGTTTCGTTTCATTAATTTTCTCCACACTTTTTTTTATTAATTTATCATACTGGAAATGGGATTAAACCTCATTATTTTCGACAGCAGTATCCACAAAACTGAGGTCATAACGCACAGCATCACCCCACCCCATCCCAAATCTAACGACCACGACGTAGTGAACACCCTAGCCGGTAATAAGTCCTTTACCAACCGTCCTCCTGTGGGGCTGACGACCCCGTCCACCGTGCCCTCGGCCTCGTCCACATTGGGGCGACTGTGCAGTCTTTTGAAGTGTATTATGGTTAAGGTGAAGAGAGCGAAAGATGCTAGAAGAAACAATATGTTCTGTATACATAGTATAGTAGTCGTCCAATTATTGCGTACTTTTTAATTTTATTTTTGCAGAAAAATATAGATAAAACTGTAAAAAATAATATGTAGAATGATTGGACTAACCTAGGAAAAATCATGTAAAAAGCATTACCTGCTAACAAATACATAACTCCTGTTACCAATACGGCACTTATTTGATGCTGGAAGACCCCGAAGGCCCCCACTAAGGCGGCGCTACCAAGCACTATGAGGCACACCAAAGCGCACGAAATTGACAAATTTTGCATTCCTGAAAAAGAATCGTTACAGTTCTAACATATCGCAGGACAAAAAGTATTTAAACTCACTGAAATAAGGTACTAAAAGTGTCTTACTGTGTTGCCAATCTGCCCTTGGTTCGTACCCTTTAACGCCATCTATACCCCCGGACAGATAATTGACACACGGTTGGACGTTTGGGAAGCCTACGCGTCCTAGAAGATTGATTTCTTCTTCTAAAATAAAATATATAAACAATATTAATATTATTTTATGGTTTATTAATATTATTTCCTCAGGTTTAATTTAAGTTAAAGGGGTGCAATAATATTTCATGTGTTAACCTGTTAATGACAGCTAAATGATATTTTGTTCCATTTAAATCGAAGCAATACTAACGTTTCATTAATGTCTTTTTGGTAATCATATGTTTTTTGCTCCCCTCTCTATAAAACCATCGAGAATTTTCTATAAAAATTTGCTGATTAAAAAGTTTTAAAATAATTTTATTGTTGAGTTTGTAACGGTTGGAACCGTTATTTCGGACACAATCACCTCTTACTCAAATGTTATTTATCGTCTATGCTTTGTGTCAAAGGAAGTGATATTTTTATTTCATCTGACAGACAGCGACGAATATATCACTTCTATTTTAATTTTATTTCGGTCATCCGAAATATTTATATTTATTTATGTTAATGACCGTCTGGTTTTATAAGCCTATTGCAATCTCTAGACGTTTCGGGTTCGATTACAAATAAGAATCATTTATCATGGTTTAATCACGAATAGGAGTCACGAATGAGAGTTATGAATAAGAATCCCGAATCACTTGGTTGAAGTTTCCTGGCCGGTATATAATGTTTAAGGATTGATGTACCTCTGCAGTTTGGAGCGAAGGAAGAAATCCCTGATTTTTACATTTAACTTACCATACCGTATATTACCTTATTTACCACACAGATAAGTGCAATTGATCTAATCATAAATTGTTTTAAATAAATTTAAAAAAACGTGTTAAGCAATCGAATGAAAAGAAAATAGAAAAAAAAAACAAATATTAATATAATTCGGACACCCTCCTGAATCGGTAATTGCAAACTAGATAGTTTCAAATGCTTATCCAAAATTATACTAACAAATAAAGAAAAATGTAAAGAGAAAATTATGATAACTAGGAAATTAGGTAGAAATTTAAAAAAATATACTATTAGTAACTGAATATATATTACCAAAAATTAAGGTAGCTATTACAGACAGTATTGCTTTACAAAATAAGCAGTAGCAGACAGTTAAAAGTTAGAAGGTAATGTCTGGTCTGACTCATAAATATTCCAATGGTGTAAAAGGAAAAAAAATGACTATTACTTGGTCGTGTAGGTAATAGCAATAATAAAAAGCTAGATACACTATTCTGGCCTGACGGTGGCTTTTATTGTTCTGGCCTGACAGTAAACTAGAAAATTAGTAATATTTTAACTTATTAAAAGGAATTGTATGGAAATCAAGGAAGGATATATAATTCTAAATTACAGAATAAATTATTCACTCTCAGAAATATCCTTATTAACGTTAGGCATGATTTCATTATCATCATCCTCAGATAACTCGTTATCAACATCAACGAAACTTTTTTTTAAATCAGAGACATAGTAATTACCTACATATTTAACTAAATAAAGGCACACATTTTATCACTAACAAAAAAAAAAATTACTCGATAGGCACAAAAATCAACTTTAGGTAAAAATCCATATATACTATACACTTTTATCAGTGTAGAATGAATATTTAGATATATCACTAGCAAAATATTTATAAATAAACACTGCACCTAGTACAATATGCAGGTATTATTTAAAACGACCTAGTACGATATGCAGATGTATAGAAAAGGTTAAAATAAGAGGTAAAAAAGTAATAGTAACAATACAAGACATGCAGTTAGTTTAGTTAACCTCTGTGAAATACCAATAGGAATTAAAACGATAAGTTATAAGTTACAAGGAAACTATTTCTAAGTTAAGAGCTATTTAACCCAGTTGGGGCGCCATTTTTGTAACATGAAGGCTGATTATTTTATCTACTTTGATATATGTGTTTGAGCTCAATTTATAGGGCGTGGGTTAGGTTTTTAAATAACTAGTAACTTTGAAAAAGAAGTTGGGCACCACTATATTTAAAGCTTAAACACTTAACTCTGTATTAGTGATACAAATATAGAAAATCACTAAACACTAACAAATTATACTTAAAAAATGCTTTAGATAAGGTAGGTATCAAATTCTAATTCACATAAGTTTGCACATAATTCAAATTTAAAACAATTTATTGATTAGATTATTTGTGTGGTAAATATGGTAATGTACGGTATGGTAAGTTAAAGGTAAAAATCAGAGATTTCTTCCTTCGCCCCAAACTGCAGAGGTACATCAATCCTTAAACATTATATACCGGTCAGGCAACTTTAACCAAATGATTCGGGATTCTTATTCATAACTCTCATTCGTGAATCCTATTCGTGATTGAACCGTGAATGATCTTCAAGATAAATGATTCTTATTTGTATTCGAACCTGAACCGTCTAGAGATTGCCATAGGCTTATAAAATCAGACGGTCATTAACATAAATATAAATTAATATTTCGGATGACCGAAATAAAATTAAAATATAAGTGACCTATTCGTCGCTGTCTGTCAGATGAAATAAAAATATCACTTCCTCTGACACAAAGCATAGACGACAAATGACATATGAGTAAGAGGTGATTGTGTCCGAAATAACGGTCCCAACCGTTACAAGTTTGCGGTTAGCAATGCCGGTTGGGGTTCTGCTTTTGGGGGACTGAGGCAGTTCGGGTCGAAATATTGAGACCAAACTTGGTATATAGATATATTATCTCAAAAATATGAAAATCTTATTATTAATACTATTAATATTAAGACCGTTTAGAGTTTCCTGCCTGGAACGTCATCTTTGTGAAAATACGGTCATCTTACCTGTCAAACTGACGCATAACGTCCAAATACCGCCGTGCATTGGCACCAGAAACGCTATCGTCCTGTCCTTGTCTCCCGTCGATACTCTAGCTACCGTCCGATCTAGCAACCAATGCAATCGTATCGTGCTGTTAGCTAGCAAATCCAAATTCTGTTTGTCCCACGTGACTTCCTCCCAGTGGTCCGTCATGATGGCGGCGCAGAGCATGCCAGTCGCGCATGTTGTCAATACCAACGTACCTTTATTGGAAATGAAGAATTAGCAAAAATGGCCGACGCTTGACAAAAACAACAACGTTTATTTACAACTATATATGTAATGTTGTCATTACTAACGTCATTGAAGGTTGGGAAGTGTCACATTACACAACTCTACTTCCCGCCCTCATTTCATCTATTCTAGATGAATATTTTTTATATTTAAAAAAAATAACACATTTTTTTGACAAATTTTATAATACCTATTTAATGGCAAACAATAAAAAACAACAATGAACTAAAATACAACAAACTACTTATTGATATTTATTATTCGCGAATTTTATATCCGGCTTTATCTGACATTTATTTATATTGGTGACAGTTGTTTACCCCGTAATCACAGTAACAATATATTTACTTGATTATTCTGAGAAAACCGCGCGCTTGGTAATTTGTCTTTAAATGTAATATTTTAGGTATGTTCAGAACGAAACAGAGATTTATTAACTTTGATCGAAATATGATGGTTGTAAATAAAACAAACCTCGGTAGGAAGTTTCATTCCTGTCTCGAGATTATAGCTAACCTCGACGCTTCACGTCTCGGTGATCTAACTAATCTCACGACAGGAATGAAACTCTTCCCACCTCGGTGTGTAATATAGTATTGTTAACCTTTTAAGGACTTTTACGTTAGAGTTTGACTATAAATCGTAGTTTAAATTCATATATTTCCTATCCTTCATCGAACACTCGAAATTTTCTACCAAATTCTAGAAAATTCACGTAAGGCGCACGAAATTTCCCCCTCCTTAAGAGATAGTTTCTCCTGGAACTTTTACGGAACTATAACTGAATTGTTGTATCTGCAACTGGACCATCTTTTTTGCTTAAACTAATAACCTCATTTGAAACGTTTTGGTTACAAAATACTTTTGTTGTTTTTCCAATTGTCCGCCATTTAAAGTCGCGTGGCTCTTACTCACCTAATAAAAAGAAAACGCTCGGATGGACGCTGCAATTCCAACCCGTTTCGTCATCGGTTTCCGAGTTCTCCATCAGTGGCGGCTCGAAGTCGACAATGAGGAGGTCGTACTCTTGTTCGTGCTTCAGCTTCAGCTTGACGACCTCGCCGAGGACGCGCACGATGTTTTCTAAGAGACGAAACGTCGTCGTGACGATGCGGCTACGGCCAGAGGAGCTACAGCGGCAAACACTGTGGGTCCTTTAATGAAAATCCGATGTAAAATATACAGGGTTGCGTAATTAGTTACATGTTCGAAAGGTAAAACAAGACCAACGGGCAAAAAGTTCGTATTCGAGTTGGTTCAATAATAATTGGTTAAAATTTTAAATACAGTCTGTTCGCTATACTTACGCGGGTTTCGGATTAACAAAATTATGCAAATTAGTCATTGACAACCAGTTCCAATAAGCCTCTTCGCAAGAAATTAGGTAAAACTGCCCTAATGGTCAGATTTAAATTAAAATAACATTAGGGTAGGTACTAAATTTGTTACAAATATTGCAGTTGAATTGATTCTTTGCAAGTGTTGACATTGTATGTATATTGTAAATTTAGTGGAAATTTTAAAAATGCCTAGACGTGTGTTAAATGTAGATAGTCTAATTTCTAGTGTGCATAAGTATTTCACGGATGAAAAAGAAAATGGCGGTCCTTTAAAATCGGTAATGTCTGTACAACGCGTATGCGATACTCTAGGAATTAGTGAAACCAAATTAAGAGGAGTATTACAAAATCACAATAGTGAACTGCCGAAAAAAGATTACCTCAAAACTCGCCCATCATTGAAAACGAAAGATATTCCAGATGGAAAGAAATTTGAAATTCGTGATACCATTTATCGAATGAGGGCCAACAAGGAACATGTAACCTTAAATACAATTCTCTCGGAATTAATAGATAGAAAATTTGACGACAAGTCTATGGTAAGTAATACATAACTTGGGTTTCAAACTTCAAAAGGAGGATAACAGAAAGGTCCTTTGTGAAAGAAGTTCTGTCGTGCACAACTTTCTAAGAAAATATTCTAAAATTAAGAAGTAGGGGCGAATTTTATATATTTAGACGAAACATGGATATTTTCTAGGAGTGCAACCAAGAGAATATGGCAAGATGATAACGTAAAGTCCATCAAACATACCGATGGAGAAGGAAAGCGACACATAATTTTACATGCAGGAGGGAAATCGGTTTTATAGAAGGTGCTGATTTAATATTTTCATTTAAATCAAAATCCAGTGATTATCACGATAATATGAATACAGAAATGTTTGTAAAATGGTTGCATGAAGAACTTCTCCCAGGTTTAAGTGAGCCCAGCGTAATTATTTTAGACAATGCACCTTACTATTCTGAAGTATTAAACAAAAGTCCAACGAATTCTTGGACTGTTGATAAAATTAAAGAATGGTTGACAAAGGAACATATACCATTTCCTCAATATATATTAAAATCAGAATTATTACGCTTGGCAAATATACACGCAAAACCAAAAACCTTTGTTGTGGATCAGATTATTGAAAGTTACGGTCATCAAGTTTCACGTCTGCCACCGTATCATTGCCAGTTTAATCCCATATATGGGGAATAAGCCAAAAAATATTATGACAACCATATTGGGCCTAATGGTTATAGTGACGACGCAGTTCGGGAAACTTGGCGAAAAGCACTTTCAATTGCAACTCCAGAAGTGTGGCGGAACTGTATATCCAAGTGTATATCCAATAGAAGATTGGTGGACTCGTGAAAATAAAATAAACGAAATAAGTCCAACCATAATAACAATTAATGGTGATGACAGTGATGATGATGATGATGACGATTATGATATTTTGGATGATAATGACTGATTTTCATTTTTGTTGGAAAGTTCAATTTTTTTATTTTTAATTTGAAATTCTCTACATGGAACAAATTTTTATGTTAGAAAATATTTTATTTAAGCTAAATAACCCTCTTATTATAAATTCCAAATATTATCCATATCTCAAAGTGGTCCGAAGTAGATTAAAGGGAAGTAAAAGGCTCAAAGTCTGTCGACCACATAAATTTATTAGGTTGGGTTGCAAGCGCTTTCGACCTAAAAGGTCATCATCAGGCAAAAAAAAATTTTGTGAGTAGGTAGGTACAATCTGCAATAATGATTTAAGGCTAACAAAACGTTTTTTATAGAAATGCTAGGTGTCTTACCCACTATATGTCCACAGAAAAATAAGTATGTCGAATTAAAAATTTAAATTGTAAAAATTGGCACATTCTGCCTCCCTCATTCGAGGTTGGATCCTGTTCAATTTTGAATTTCGCCTGCCTCCATCTAATGAAGGTGGTTTCGAAAGAGATCAATTTTAAAGTTCCACATGTGTGCTTAAGGCATCATGTGGAAAGTGTTACTTTTGGGGAAATACCACTACTCCCCCTATCCCCAGTACAAATGGGGTAGACGGAGTCCCGCTCGTGTACACCCTTAAGCCTAAGCTTAAGGGGTATCATTAAATATTAACTAAACTTTTTTTAGAAAAATTCACTTGACACTTTCGTCATCCAACGGTGAAGTTAAGTGAGAAAATGGTGGAGAATTTACGACATTTGACAACTGACATATGATGGAAGACACGTAGTTACAATGATGGTTGAGCTAATAGAGAGTTATTGCAAGTTCACTTAAGGTCAGTCACTATTAATGCCGCTCTTATTTTGACATCTGAGCATGCGCAGATCACTAACTTTAATAAAGATTGTGCCTGTCCTTAATAGAGAGATATTGCAAATTTCTATAAAGCCAGCCACTAATAGTGACATCGTAATTAGAGTCAAATAAATTCTATAATAGTACCTACTATTAAAGAGGCATTAGAAATTATAATTTTAGAAGGTTTAAATGACGAGCGCATCCGAAAGCTATAAAGTCGCCACTACCTGCTGCCCTTAAACATCCACAATTAAGGACAGGCACAATCCTTCATAAAGTCAGTTTTAGAACATAAACATCTGCGCATGCTTAGATGTCAAAATAAGATCGGCACTAATAGTGACTGACCCTAAGTGAACTTGCAATAACTCTCTTATTATGGACAGGCACAATCTTTAATAAAGTTAGTGATCTACGCATGCTCAGATGTCAAAATAAGAGCGGCACTAATAGTGACTGACCTTAAGTGAACTTGCAATAACTCTCTAATAATAATTAAATTTGACATTAGTTGAATTGAATATGTTAAATTAGTTTTGTGACAAATTTTATAGTATAAATTTAAACAATTTGACAGGATGTCCAAGACTTTGGAGAGGCCACAAATAAGTTCTGCTGGTGTTATGAAGTTAGAGTGACATTTGATTTTTTAAAAAAGAAGAATTTGACATTAGACATTAGATTGAGGTTAAGGAAATTTATAATAAATATGAATTTTTTGAAAAAGGGGGCTATTATATATATTATTACAAGTAAAGAGTTGAAGGATTTAGGAAACTTGTGAGGATGATGGGATTCATTGTAGTTGTTGAATTGAAAATTCTAGAAGGTTAATCTGGAAAAGATAGGCTTATATGTAGGTTGTAATTGATCATTTAAACAAACCACATCTGGGTTATTAAAATGTTGATGAATGTAATACATTTCAAGTAAGTCCAGCTTAATGCCTTTGGGGCAATGGATAAGAAGAAAGGCATTAAGCTGGACTTACTTGAAATGTATTACATTCGTCAACATATTAATAACCCAGATGTGGTTTGTTTAAATGATCAATTACATCCTACATATAAGCCTATCTTTTCCAGATTAACCTTCTAGAATTTTCAATTCAACAACTACAATGAATCCCATCATCCTCACAAGTTTCCTAAATCCTTTGTAAATCCTTCAACTCTTTACTTGTAATAATATATATAATAGCCCCCTTTTTCAAAAAATTCATATTTATTATAAATTTCCTTAACCTCAATCTAATGTCTAATGTAAATTCTTCTTTTTTAAAAAATCAAATGTCACTCTAACTTCATAACACCAGCAGAACTTATTTGTGGCCTCTTCAAAGTCTTGGACATCCTGTCAAATTGTTTAAATTTATACTATAAAATTTGTCACAAAACTAATTTAACATATTCAATTCAACTAATGTCAAATTTAATTATTATTAGCTCAACCATCATTGTAACTACGTGTCTTCCATCATATGTCAGTTGTCAAATGTCGTAAATTCTCCACCATTTTCTCATTTAACTTCACCGTTGGATGACGAAAGTGTCAAGTGAATTTTTCTAAAAAAAGTTAAGTTAATATTTAATGATACCCCTTAGACTTAAGGGTGTACACGAGCGGGACTCCGTCTACCCCATTTGTACTGGGGATAGGGGGAGTAGTGGTATTTCCCCAAAAGTAACACTTTTCACATGGTGCCTTAAGCACACATGTGGAACTTTAAAATTGATCTCTTTCGAAACCACCTTCATTATTTTTACAATTTTTTACATTTTTACAATTTAAATTTTTAATTCGACATACTTATTTTTCTGTGGACACATAGTGGTAAGACACCTAGCATTTCTATAAAAAACGTTTTATCCTTAAATCATTATTGCAGATTGTACCTACCTAGTCACTTACAAAAAAATGTTTTGCCTGATGATGACCTTTTAGGTCAAAAGCGCTTGCAACCCAATCTAATAAATTTATGTGGTCGACAGACTTTGAGCCTTTTACTTCCCTTTAACCTCTTATTATACATAGACCATATTTTCTGTGTGAAGTGTAATATAAAATTATTATTAGGTTTATAATAGCCACATTAGACTCCATTAATGAAGAAGTTTAATTCTGCTCTCAATTGTACAAAAGATTCTCCATTATTATTTAATTAAAAAGTTGTACATTATTTTTCATTTAATTTAACCAGTTGATATTTCCCCAAAGAACAGGTCAAACTTTCGGGTACTTACCTGGAAATACTCATAAAATTTTTAATCCGAAACCCGCGTAAGTATAGCGAACAGACTGTACAATCTTATCTAAACAACAAACGACAATTCAATAAAAATTTAAAAGATTTTTCGTCGAAAAGCGTGTTTAGCGTAATCCTTTAAATTTATTTGATTACACTCGTGAATTCAGTACAATTTTAGTATACGTAGTGACAGTATAGGTATGTTTTATTTGTAGAGAGTGGACGTGTTTATATTTCGTTCGTGAATGTTAAAGTAGAAAAACT